AGCATTTTACGTTTTCCATTTATCTCTCCTCATTGAGTAGGTACGTGATGCTGATAAAGAATGTACGTTTCCTGACAGTTTCACATTAGAGTTCAAGGATCATGGTGGTGGTGGGAGCGATGGTAGTTTTTATCCCGGATCACGGCAGTAAGCCTCAGTAAATTTAACAGAACATAGTTCAGCCACCGCATCATTCCTGGGCAGATTGTCATGGAGTTTGCCGGTACTAGCTGCCTTCACATTCGCCAGAAACTGAAACTTCTGTACATACCAGAGCAGGAGGTACAGTGCGAATGACCGTAGTTCTAAGGATTGCATGATCCGGACTAACGAAAGTGACTTGCATCGCCTGGGAATAGAACTGGACGGTTAGGTCAAGGATCATGTTCTAATCGCCTTGCTTTATAATAAGCAGACTTCATCGTTACTCAGCAGTGCAATAATTTAACACTTTTGCTTTGTTTTTTTTTACGCCTCAAATGTTAAATCTGTGTTTAGGGAAAAGTTATTTTGGTAATGATTAAATTTTTTTCATTTATTTTTCATCTTCCACGTGTACATACATGACTTGCCAGCACTTTTAAGTGTTGAGAATTGAGTACCGCTCAAGCCGGTGCTAGGGGCGTGAGGGATGTTGCACGTATTCATTATCCCTCGTGTACAGACTCAATCAAACCGAGTCTGCAATTCTCTTGTAATTTTGTTGTGAGTAATGCTCCCGAGGGATCACTTTGTTTCCAGATTTTTATACTTCACAACAGCAGGTGTCAAGTGCTGTGTGGCAGCTGTAAAACATGTAAAAGGTTGCCCCGTACTTCACTTCAGTGTTGTAATATTTTTCGGGATTTTTCTTCGGGATCATTGATGCCAGCACTATCAAGTGTTAATTGAGAATTGAGTACCGCTCAAGCCGGTGCTAGGGGCCGTGAGGGATGTTGCACGTATTCATTATCCCTCATGTACAGACTCTTAAACCGAGTCTGCAATTCTCTTGTAGTTTTGTTGTGATTAATGCTTCCGAGGGATCACTTTGTTTCCAGATTTTTCACAATAAAAAAACGATCGCTATTGAACTTGAAAATTTCCCAACAGAGCCGTGTTGCCAAAATCATATCTTATTTATTTGCGACAGATCCAGTCCAAATATGATATTGATTTTCTTTTAAGCGACAGACTCCGCCCTATCTACTTGTTTCTTGCATATATTGCACCCTGAATGGATTTTGTCGGGGAACGCTTAGATATAATGTACCTTTTTCTTTACATGTTTTTAAAAACAATATTCCCTTCAAAAACGAAGAAGGAATGGAAAAGCATGAGAACAAAGATCAACAAGGCTACATTCATATAAAACCTGCCCCCGACACAACAAGCCACACTCGCAGTTTATTTAGAAGGCACCGAACCAAAACAAAGAAATGACACAAGAACGGAAACCCGTTTTAGCAAATTTGTTACTGACAAGAATCAGAACCGGTTTAATAATGATTATGTAAAATACAAATATCAAAGGCTTATCAACATTACAAATTACGTATTTAGCGTTCAAAGAAATGCCATATAATATTTATATTAAATATCTGATTTTCTGTAATACGTACACTCATCTGTACAGGGGAGATAACCGAAACAGAAAAACACAAAGTAAATGTAATGGTTATCCTATCGTTGGCTATGCTGTTTGTTATTCGCTGATAGAATCATTTAGTAACATTTTAAGCTTTTATCATTTTCAGAATCATAGGTGTTTACAATAATAATCTTATTAGCATCTTTCATTAATATAATTTTATATGATATATACATTCATATACATTTATTTATTCAACGTATAGTCAGTACGTATATAAACAAAAAGTGAAGCGTGACACGTGCTTATAGATTAGAACAAAAGAATATGTATATGTTTGTGAGCAGGAATGACTTTAGGATAATTATGTCAATTGATTTTCGAAATATGTAATTTACTTATACAGATATATGGTGAGGATTATTTACTATTCAGGTTTCATAGGACAAAAAAAGGAAAGTGTTCTGTAAATGAATATGTACGGTGGCACAAAGGTGACATGTGTGTGTTTTTATTTATCTCGTGGCCACGAGATACTATGTCGTGGCCACGAGTTACTAAGTCGTGGCCACGAGATAGCTAAGTCGTGGCCACGAGATACTATGTCGTGGCCACGAGTTACTAAGTCGTGGCCGCGAGATACTATGTCGTGGCCACGAGTTACTTAGTCGTGGCCACGAGATAGCTAAGTCGTGGCCACGAGATACTATGTCGTGGCAACGAGTTAGTAAGTCGTGGCCACGAGATAGCTAACTCGTGGCCACGAGATAGCTAGGTCGTGGCAACGAGTTTCTAAGTCGTGGCCACGAGATAGCTAACTCGTGGCCACGAGATACTATGTCGTGGCCACGAGATAGCTAACTCGTGGCCACGAGATAAGTAACCAATCAGATTACACCATTTATGTGAATTTCCCTAATTAACTAGACATGTGCTGTAGTACAAGGATACCCCTACTTCACCAGTCAGTAAAAGTGCCATTTATACAACTTATTGACTTGTCAATAATTTTACATTTAGCGTCGCTGTGACCCTGATCTTTGACCCAGTTACCTCGAAATTATTAGATGTCATCTACTGATCAGGTGCAATGATCTTTCTGGGTTATATAAACCATGGCTTATCCCTTCTAAATTATTCATCAGACAAGGATTTTACCTTATAGGCTATCTTCTGTCCATGGGCAATGTCCCTTACAAATAAAATAAACAAGGACTTATTCCTTCTCATGTTATCATATAAACAAGGTTTACAGGCCGTAGTACGTACAGACTGACCAATTCGATCACAAAATTGTCCAAACAAAGAGCTATAGTCAAAATTAAAGTCTGATGGGCCTTGGAAGGTGACTTTCTAAAATGATCCTAAAGACAAGTTCAATGTGAATATCTTCAGTACTTTCAAAGATTAATGTTGCATGTAAAAGTAAGCTGTTAAGTTTTTAAAAAATCATAATATATATAGTGTATTCTGATTGGTTAATTATCTCGTGGCCACGACTTAGCTATCTCGTTCCCATGCACGACTTAGTAACTCGTGGCCACGACATAGTATCTCGTGGCCACGACTTAGTAACTCGTGGCCACGACTTAGTAACTCGTGGCCACGACATAGTATCTCTTGGCCACCCAAACAAATAAAAACAAACAATAAAACAAAGAAAAAAACAATTGACGCATGCGCGGACATTAAACTCGTAGGTTTCAGGGGGTTCATTTTGTGACAACGTGTTTTTATTTTGCCTATGATACAAAAAAAAAGAATATCAAAACACTCTCGTCAATCTGAATAATACTCGAGAGCTATGTCCCCGTGTACAAATCAGATTTCTATTAAATATCGCGACAGACAGTGTGGAAACTGGAGTGCGGGTAACTAATACCTGCACTCCACAACAGAAAGGTCCCCAAACTATCATACAAATAAAGCATGCTCGTTGATTGGCAACATTTTTTCTACGGTTTACTTAATTGTGACAAAAGGGAAAGAGATAACGATAGAAAAGTCATATACAGATGTTCGTAGACTGATTACTTTTTTTCTTGGGTTTCATATTGTGACTACAAGGAAAGTGTTTTCATTTTTGCCTATGATACAAAGGAGAAAAAACACCAAAACACGCCCCTCATACAAAATCAGATATGCTCTTTCTATTACTTATACACAGACACGTAAAAACAAATTTACTCAATTGCTTAAATATACAAGTCATACATTCGAAAACCGTTACAAATTACATGTATTATAAAAGCGCATGCAATTGCCGAAAGAACGCACAAAACCATTTAAAATGCACTTAAATTCATACATTTGTAAATGTTTATAATGCGGATATATTTTTTTTAATTTAAAGGAATGTATTATTATTTGAATCTATTTTGCCAAGGTCTTTCAAATAGAAAGACCTTGATTTAACGTATGAGAGTCCCATTAGCCCATGTATAAGGAAATGTTTTTGTATGTAACTATGAACTATAAATGTTCAAAAAGACGAAATCTTCTGCTTTGTTCCAGATTAATAACATTTACTAAACATAGCATCAAATATTTATAATTTAACAAGCTTTTTACTAACACAGTTAATTTGCTTCTCATTTACAATAAAATTTCAATAATTAATACAGTGTAATGGTAAGACGAATCGTATGGATATTCTCAAGTTACAGTGTCGGACATTTGTGGTTCAAATCGTAATCATTAAACTCGAACTTGTTAAACAAGCGGTCATAAAGTTTACTGACCGATGGTTCTAGTGTATAAATCTCGTTCCACAAATAAGTCTGAAATATTTTTGAATGCTTATAGTTCTAATGGCTTCCCTGGTAACTAGTACAGTGACAGGCCAATGTAAGGTCAGACATAAGCATTGTGCGCTGCTCCAGCACATTTGTCGATATATCCCTAATATTATATGATAGAGAAAAAAAGGAATTTATCCCTAAAACGGTTAAAAATAAAACGGGAAAAAAATGAAAATATTGAAGATTAGTTTGAAATTTAACATGTTCGTGGACAGTACAAAAAAGTACATTTAACGTGGGATGATACAAAGATGAATTTAGAAACATCCACAAATGTGTTCATTGGACATTCCACATATATAGTACTTCAAGTCCATTTCACAAATTAGTTGGGTGAAGATTCAACAACATTTTTACATACCGCCATGGCTTTTCATAACCGGTCTTTGTCAAAAATACATTGACCTACTTTTTTATGAATTTGTAAACAAATCTTCTTGTCAAATAGAGCATGCTTTGTTTACAAAATATACACTCGCGAAATTTAATGTTTAACTATAAACTTAAAATGGTATTAAAAAACATTTAATATATTGACAGTTGTGAAAAATTAAACATAGAGGACTAGACAATATTTACAAATCATTATTTTTTTCACATGGTAAACCAACTTAACAGATTAATGATATGCAAATGTATGTAAACCGTGAACTATATTAAACACTACAGCTAGCTGTACTTTGATTGCTATGAAGAATTACCTGTATAATAAAATTGCAGTGTTTGGTGTTTGTACCTTTTTCTGAGCGGGATGTAAATTTTTAGTGACAGATATTTGGCTGTCAACATTAATAAATATTGAGGATTTCGGAGAATAAACGTATGTATGTTTAAATGCAATTTGTTTAGTTTATGATTAAAGTCAAGTTACGGTTAACAAACATCATAAGATGCATATATTGTATTATTTCTTTTTAACGTACTTACTGACATAAGCATTCATATTACGCATTTCAAACAAATGATTTGTTTTGTTTGTTTACAATCAGAATGATACTGTCACACTGGTTTGATTTTTGAGTTAGGCGTACATGATGAACCTGCATGTATTATTTAAACGGTGAAGGGCTGCCTGTCTCCCGTCTGCGATTTGGAAAGTTTCCTTATACGACAAAGAGCGTCTGTCTTTGGGATCGGGCTCTATCCAAAACTTTTTATGAGAAGATGTGTGTCAAAGTTTCGAACTTGATTAACTCTTAACGTTTTAAAGTTACCCAGTTTGAATTTTTAACAGTTCAGTTTAAGGGATCTCAATACCAAAATATACGTGTATATCATAACCTACCAACAGTATCGAGCCCGGTTAAACTGGACCGATGTCCCTGTCAGACTGGCTCCTATACTGGTTGCAAAAGTTTATCACTTCCGGTTTCAGCCGGGTCAGGGTTCATTTGTTATGAAAGCCGCTTTTATTTATTTCAATCACGAGTCTACAAAACGTTTACTAATTTAATTATAACATGATTTGATACACACGCTATAGGTGGATATTTTAACTTAGTAAACTCGACAGTTCATGCTTCAATAAATATGAATGACTTAAACGCGTCTTCCTTAATGAAATGAATACGTGTATCTAGATATTTTTTTTACGTTTATAGATGAATTATATAATTTATGCACCGATAAGAGTACTTCTATTTTTTTCAAGGTTAGTTTGATTTTGTATTTGATTATAATAAATCTAGTTATTCTGTTTTTCAAATTCTTGTTCGACAAATCTCAAAGATAAATAAATAAATTCATTATTTAATAACTTAATAAATAAATAAATTATTTCATATTCATTTAATCATATTCTATTCTAATGTATTCAAATAAATAAATTAATTAATACTTAATAAATAAATAAATGAGTTCATATTCTTTTAATATATTATATTCTTATGTAAAATATGTTTTAATAATTTAGCCATCGAAAGCTCAATTTTTACCACTTCTCTGTATGGTTTATAGAGGATATTCAAGTTTTTCAATAAATACAGGATTTATTTTCATTGAGTGATATGAAAATAAATATTTCATACCACAAGATGACAAAAAAATCTGCATTTAGAGAAAACACTTGAATTGTCTGTTTTTATATATAAATTTTTCTCTTTTTGACATTTCATAACTTGAATTTTACATATTGGCTGAATTTGGAAGAAAGAAGTCCGGCAAGACACCAGTGAAAACACGGAAAAATATGTTTCACAACAGTGAAAATATTTTTTTACTGTGAAAATACGGAATATCGAAAATAACTTTTTATTTCATCAATATTTCATGTATAAGTATATAATAAAGTGGTGTTATTAACCTCATCGAAATGTAGAGTGCGTGTATTTTACCCACCGTTCGTTTGATGTAATACATTATTGCAGCATCTTCAGAAAACATAAAAAGCGGCATTATTTGTATACCAGCACTAAGCTGATGTTGTTTAAAACCTGTGTCAAAATGAGTTAGTTATTCAAAACGGAGCTTAGAATAAGTAGAATAATAGGCGTTCATGTTATATGAATATAATTTATTTCAATATAATTCAAGACAAATTGAGTAAGCTAGTTTCATTTGTTTTTTTGTTTTTTTAAGGTGACTGAAATCTGGAATATTTTGCACAGAGTCAATGGCTACATCAGAAGAAAGGCTTGCCTTGTTTAAGGCGGAGTACCCTCACACAGATAATGTTTCCCTGACCGGGGCAGATCTGGGCGTGGTGGCCGGATACTTTGTTATCATCATTGCCATAGGAGTTGTGGTAAGTTGTAAAAAAATACAAATTGTAACAATTTTAGATGTTTCATGGTAAAGCTTTCTTATAAAAGAAAGAAACAGTTTGAATGTTAAAAGAAAAATATTGCGTGGTTTAGTGTGGTTAATGCAAAGTCGTGGTTCTTTTTGTGTAACACAAAAAAAATACTTTTATATAGTGCCATTTTTAATAAGTAATCTAGTTTTAGGGGTTTTCCGATCAAATGTTTGCCTTCCCGATTTAGAATTGCCATCTGTTTAATTTTGTTTGTAGTATTTCCTTATTAAATGACATTAATTGAAACAAATTAAAGTGCATAACAAGGGGAAAGAGAAAAAAAACATGTCTGCATATAAAGTGCAAAAACTGCATGGAGACAGTAGTTTGTCATACTTACATAAATATAAATATTACAAGGTTTATGTTGAACGTGATTTGAATAAAGAAATGATATTTTAATTTACACATAAGTGAAAGGAGATAAAGTTGAGCTTCAGGAGAAGTAAATAAAGCGACCATAATGAACGTTGAGATAATTAGAAAGTAGAGGATACGGGTTTGGGCGCGTTTTCGTTGGCTTTTATTCCAAGGTTGAATATTTTGATAATTGTGTGTTTCCCATGTTTAGGTTTAATATTGTAATTATAATATTGACTGATATTGCAGACGACATGCGTCTTTCAACAGTTTTCCGCATGTTACATTATTATTCTTTTAGTTCCAGTAGACAATTTGGGTAAAGTGAAAAACATAGAAAGCCTCTCCACGAAGAAACCTTTTTATTCATTCTTTTTATAACAAATGAACCTTCTCATTATAAGTTATTACCTCCCCTTTTATTTACTACAGAATAACCTCGGTATAGTTTCTACGACAGTCAGTCAACAAAAGAAATTAAACAAACATAACAAAGAGTCAAGGGAAAATGACATTAAAGGATATATAAAGTATCATATTACTATAACATCCTTTTATTTCAGGCAATGTGCAGGTCTAACAGAAGCACAGTTGGTGGGTTCTTTCTCGCTGGAAGATCTATGTTCTTTTTACCTGTAGGTATTTTCACGATGTTAATGTATGTCAAATGGTGTGCTGGAAATAACTGACCATTGGCCATTCAGACAACAGTACATTGTACAATGAAACAATTCTTGATCGTATATTTTAAAGATTTTTTTCTAAATTTATTAAATAAAAATGTTGTTTAATAGTTAAAATATGAATGTGTATGGCTGAAACAAAAATTAATATGAAGTGCTATATAAGTTTGATATTCATTAGAGTTTACATCTGTAGTTGAGTTCTTGCAGGCATTATAACGTGAATACGTAAAACCTGAAACATTTACGAGTATTTATTGCAATGATGGTGTTTCTTACATTACTACTTGTATCTTTATATGTTAAATGTTTAATATCTAATGTTGTAGACGTCTTTTGTTGGCCACATATCATGATATATATCACAAGTAAACTATACCCAGGACACATATTATGATATATAGTCATGCTTTGGACACATATATGATATATTTCACAAGTAAACCATGCATAGGCATATATTATGATACATATCACAAGTAAACCTTGCATATTACTCATATTATGCTATATATCACAAGTAAATCATGATTAGAACTCATATTATGATACATATCACAAGTAAACCATGCATAGGCATATATTAAGATACATATCACAAGTAAACCATGCATATTACTCATATTATGCTATATATCACAAGTAAATCATGATTAGAACTCATATTATGATAGATATCACAAGGTATCCATATTTACAGGATAATGAACATTGGTGCATTTATTATATTAGTTTTGGCTCATTTCAGATTGGTGCTTCACTGTTTGTCAGTAACATTGGGACAGAACATTTTATAGGTCTTTCCGGTTCGGGTGCTGCCCAGGGTATTGGTGTTGGGGCATGGGAATTTAATGTAAGTAATTAGTACAATGTTTGAGAGGAAATACAGAATTTATATTTATGTATAGAATATATTACCAAAATTTGAAGCCCTGAAATACCAAACCACCAGCATAGGGAGCGACCAGCAGTAAAGTGTATATGTTTGCTGATGACATAACTGATCAATAAACAACCATGAAGTCTTGCAAATTAACATCTTTGTGATAATTACACCTAATTCTGAAGAATATTATTGAACAAGGAGGGCACGTACAAAATATAAGGACATAAGCATAGAACACTTATTTTAATGCACGATTGAACATATTAAATGAAAAGTTCCTATTTATTTTAGTTTATTATTCCAATACAATAGTTTATTTTACCTTTCAATCGAAGGTATCTCGGGTTCGACCTGTATTTAGCTTAAACAGAATTTTGTTAACAGTATATTTTATGGAAAGAAGGTAATGCGTCTAATTTCTGGCTTGTCTTTATGTTATGTTGGTGCCGTAATTCAATTGATTATCAAATATGATGATAAATGTAATGTCTTGACATATAATATAAATGGAAACGTGTTTTTTGTTGTTGTTTTTTTCAGGCAATCCTACTTTTACAGTTACTCGGCTGGATATTTATCCCCGTGTACATTGCATGTGGGGTAAGTTTCTTTTAAATTCGTTGTTTTGTTTTTGGTGCGACGAAAACTAAAACTTTAATTCGATGATAAGTTTTGTGGGGAAGTTATCAATCTGAAGAACAAAATATGTTGATATTATATTCTTGACCTTTTTTCAACTTATTTTACCTTTGAATAATATTAGAGAACAAGTAGAACATTATGTTTGTATATATTTACATAGGTTATTATTCAATGCTTGAATATTTAATGGTTTTAACTTTCTCCACTCAAGTATGCCATCGCCTTTGACATCAACGTTCCATCATCATTAAACCAAGATTTAATCATGATAATGAAAATCTGAATTTTATCTTGACTATTTTAGTTTGCATACCTGTCTCTCATTTAATATTCATGGCAAGCTAGTTTTAAATTTAAAAAAAATTTAAATGAAAACTTTAGCACCCCCAAATCTCCCTCCCTTGTCGAAATTTGCAGTTTTAAAATTTAAATAGTTCTCATTTAAAAATATTTTTTTTTTGGGGCCCAAATTGGGGGTTTCTTTTTTGAGTATTTATGAGTTAAAATTGAGCCCCGTCCCGAAAAAAACCAAACCAAAAGGGGTTTGCCCAGAGGTTTCCGCCCAGTGTGCATCGCCCCGTTGTTTCAGGATCCGCTTTTTTGCTATGGTTTCTTATTAAAATGGGTTTGGGTTTGGGCCCGGGGTTTTTCTGGACCCATTTTTGGTGGGAAGCCCCCTATTTTTGGGTTTTTTGTGCGCGATTATAATTTTATTGCCCAAATTGTTTTAGAAAAAAAAGTTTTATAACTAAATTTCGGACGTACCCCGATCCCTAAATATCCCCAAAGCTTTTTGGGGGGGAAAGGATGCGGTTTACTTTGCATTACTGTCTTTAATTCTATACATATTCACAAAATGTTCTGTAAGTATTTGAATGCAATTAGCCATTTTACACTGTAAAGTCATATATTTATAATTTGAAATTATTGCACATTGTTGAGTGCATTTCCGAAATTCTGTAAGAATAGTACACAGATGTGTACCTTTATAACACGAGGCGTAAGACATTAAATATGTCTTGTTGATTTTGTGTCAAACAGGGACTAGTTGTTCTCCGTCATTGGTAAACATGGTGAATTACTTTAATAAACGTCAAACGATTGAATTTGTTTTTTTTTACAAACGTTTATTCATAAAATTTGAGAAGGAAATTATTAAAAATTGATTGAGCTAAATGAAGTCGGTGAGATAGTGTTTAGATTGTCATCACTCAGATTAACTTGCAGTTTTTGTTAAATCAGACGTTTTAAGCAAATAAAACCAGCTATATCTCGCCATACTTTTACTTTATATGGTAATATATCAAGTAATATTCCCGTGGGCAGGGAAACTGGTAAAGGGGAGTGGGGGCAGCACGGCAAAGGGGTACGTAACATGGGTGGAAGTTGATGTAGCGATTATTAATTGCACTATAAACTCTTTACCTATTTAATTTAGACTTCTTTGGCTGGAATTGTCACTTTTGTATGATTGTCACTGCTGTTCAGTGTAATTTAAATTCATTCATACCTACACAGTAAAAGAATTATAGTAATATAATTATACCTGGCATTTTTCATATTTCAGGGCGATCTTTTCACTGGGGCATTGTTCATACAGCAATCACTAAAATGGGATTTATATTTATGTATATTTATCCTAGTCACTGTTACAGGAATTATGACCATGACAGGTACGTTCCTAACATGTTTATTTATTTTGTATTTTTCGACCATGTGCTGTTTGTATTCGCCAAGACTTCCGGTAAATGTATGGGCTTTTCGCTATCCCTTTTCCGTTATTTTCCGCACTGGCAGTCCGTGTGTTACGATATCGTTTTAGCTTTGCTATAGATATTCATTATGAGGCCACATATACATTAAATCTACCAAGTAATATACAGGCTAACCATATGATGAACGATTACTTCCCTAATGACTAACGATTATAAAATCTGCCATATATAATTCAGAATAATTGGAAAAGTGATCTGCCTACTTATAATATGAATTTTTATTAGACTGATTTAGCATTTAAACCAAACCGAACCATCGTCCCTGTTCTCTAAATTAAAGTATTTATCTTACACCATCTTATTGTTCAAAACATACCATTATGATATTGATTAATTTGACATGCGCATGTTAACTTTTTCATCTTGTAGTACTCTGATATTTGAAGAATAGATAAATTTATTTATAAAAAGAATGATTCTGTATCAATTTTACTAAAACAAATTGTATAATTTATCACATCTATATTTTTCGTAATTAACGTGTTACAGGTGGTTTGACTGCCGTTATTTATACAGACACCATGCAGGCCATATTGATGGTTGGTGGCGGTCTTACTTTGATGGCAATGAGTACGTATCTATTGTATATCATTATTTATATCATGTATTTTGTTTCTACATGTATATGTTTTTGGGTGTTTTATTTTTTTTAATTGTTTCTTGTTTTGTTTGGTTTTAGTTGTTGTTGTTTTTGTTGCAGTTGTTTTGGGAGCGGGGTGACTGGGAATATTTGTACATTATATAGATGTTATATAGTTACAGCAAACTTTGTTTTTGATGTTTTGTCAATTTTAATTACCCATGCTGGCAATCGTTAATTCGTATAAACAATTATATTATACATGTACTGATCAATGTCAATCAATTAAAAAAATATCTAAATTTCTTTTTATGTACATTTTGTACACAAGTTCGTGCACAAAGATGCGCAATGACAAAAACACTAAAATGATTATCCATCAAATCAATGTGTAATATTACTTAAATTAAATAAATGCAAGAAAAATACAGTTTTAAAGAAATTGTTACAAAATAACAACTCTTTAAACATAATCATTCATCAATATCTTGAATTTCAGGTTTCTCAAAGATCGGTGGTTATGACGGGCTTGCCCGAAAATACCCGAATGCAACTACCAAGATGACGTATAGAATGCCAAACACCACGTGTCACGAGACAGACCCGAACTCGTTCCGGATGTTACGTGAAGCAGACGATGACTATATGCCGTGGTTAGGGTTTCTGCTAGGACAGACGCCGGGGTCTATTTGGTACTGGTGTGCCGATCAGGTATTCTAACGTAAGCTTAATTTCTTGGACCATATAATATTTGGACCATGTAATATATTGTCTTGTATTTGTATGTAATTGCACTGTACCATTCACTTAAGTTTCTTCAACACAACCGACATTCATAACATACAATCTAAGAGATAAAAGAAATTGTGCAGATTTCTTAATCGTTTGACAAATTAGCATCTTCCTTTTTGATAAAGCATCGTCCGAGGCCATTTGTAATGTATGATTCAAACATCCAGACTTTGAGCAAAAAGAAATGTTTTTGCATTCTCTGTGGAGAGGTACAGATGAATCGGTGAAACAAGCATATAACAATGGTCTAATTCATTTCCATTTTCTTGCAAGGACCTTCTTCTGTGTGGAAGGTGACGGATATATACAACTTTGTTAAAACTGTCAATGCGTTTCTATAAAGGGGCTGATCTCTTCTTTTATTTCATTAATATTTATGTTTTTTCTTGTCAGGTGATTGTACAGCGCCTCCTAGCGGCCAAGAGTTTGTCACATGCTCAAGGAGCCACACTGATGGCCGGCTTTATAAAAGTTTTACCATTATTTATGATGGTGATGCCGGGGATGATCAGCAGAGTTCTCTACGCTGGTAATAAAATATTAAATGTATAAGCTAGTACCATCGGGGCCATGCAGATTGGGATTGGGATGCAAGTTAGAGCTTGAACAATATTAAATCATACAACACATGCAAATCATATATATTGCTTTTAAGTTTGTTGTAACTTTCTCTCTCTGAAATATGAATAAATTTCAAGAGAAACTCAGAAGTAAAATTTAAAGGTTTTAGTTCAATCGTTGTTGTGTGAAATGGATCACTGCTTATCCTTTCGAAAATTTTGAAAGGACCTAAGCAATATATGAAGAAAAACCTGACTTAGCTGCAAGTTGTTGTTAGTTCATAGTTCTTTTTTTTTTTGTTATTACAGACGAAGTTGCATGTGTTGACCCACAAATATGTAACTATGTTTGTCAAAGCGAGGCTGGCTGTAGCAGTATAGCTTATCCGAGGCTTGTCCTCGGTATCATGCCAGAAGGTGGGTTACAAAAACAAGATGTCGTTCAGACTTTTAGAATTTGCTTTTTGTACATATATCGGTTCTTTCCTGCGTTATCTTAAATGGCAATATATTTTGCCAAAATTCTTTTCGTCAAAATTATATGTTTCGGTGTGTACAAATGGCAGTTTTTGAAAACAAAGCAAAAATACTACTGAACGATTGAAACTACTGAAAACTTATTTGCAATTTTAAATGACAAAAATCATAGATTATTTGTAAGATACCGAATCGTTTCAATATATTTATACTATAAAATACATGTCCGTTTAATTTGCAAAATACATTGTCGGTCGTTCTGACAATGCAATAATTATATTTTCCCTTTAAAATAAACTTAAAAATTGTATATATTTTTAATCTTTGACACATGTTTTAGCTTCATACATAAAGATAGCAAATTAACTTTCCTTAAGACCCTTGCCACATATATCTCAATTTTATTTCCGATATGTGCTGAATGTAAAAATTAATGATAAACAAGTTTTGTTGTAAACGAACATGTATATTTAAGTTTAGGTGGTCTTATGTTCAGATTTACGTGATCATACTTTGTATTTGAATGTTTAATAATTTATGTAATCTTATATTCAGGTTTACTTGGTCTTATGTCAGGTTTACATGATGTTATGTTCATATTTAGGTTGTCTTATGTTCAGATTTTACGTGGTCTTATGTTCAGATTTTACGTGATCATATATTTAGATTTACGTGATCATATATTCAGGTTTACTTGGTGTTATGTTCAGGTTTACGTGGTCTTATATTTAGAGTTACGTGATCGTTATTTTCAGGTTTACGAGGTCTTATGATGGCGGTGATGATAGCGGCTCTTATGAGCGACCTTGACTCCATCTTTAACAGCGCCAGTACCCTGTTCACTGTTGATATTTATACTAAAATAAGAAAGAACTGTTCCCAAAGAGAACAAATGCTTGTAGGCAGGTAAGATTTAAATATTCTAATTACTCTATCATTATATGGAGCTACCTTTGTCGGGAGAGTATTTTGAGGAAAGAAATGTGCTGAACAAATCTGCGAATTTTTCTAAATTCAAAAGTTCACCATTTTCATGTTTTAATGTTTAATTCTGCTTAAGCCGGGGCAAGGGGGCGTGGACGGAAATTTGCACTTGACAGTACCGTCCATGAACAGGATCAAGCAAACCGAAACCAGCAACATTTTCAATTTTTCCGTTTTGGACTTTCTTTAGGAATTCCCATTTTCTCTATTTTGAAGCACGTATGTGTAGTACTGTGTGGCGTCTCTAACGTCACGTGTGATTTTATATTCGTGCCCGGTGTTTGTACCCTATGCTCATTGGAATTGATATTTGTTAACTGAAAAACTCCCTTGCCAATGAGGGCATATGGATTTTTGGTTGTTTTTTGAGATACTGATCAGGTTTTACAGACATCATTTTTATTTCAGACTATTCATACTCATCATGGTGGGCGTGTCAATAGCGTGGGTACCAGTGCTAAAGGAGACACAAGGGGGTCAAGTTTTCATTTATATACAAGAAATAACAAATTATTTGGCCCCACCTTTTGCAGCTATATTTCTGCTGGCAGTACTAGTTCCGATGGTCAATGAACAGGTTATATGTTCATTTAATTGATTGTATTAATTATAAACAAGGCAATAGAAATAACTATAATTCACTCATGATTTGACCCTTATGAAAATGTAAATCTGCACATTATACCTCAGTTATCTATTTTAGAATGTCAAACATACGTTTATATAATGGATTTAACAAAAGAAGAAAGTTGCGCTGAATGTGCAGTAATGTGTCGTGAAGCGTAGCAAAATGTAAACCAAGTAGTATTTTGACTTCCATCCAAAATGCTTATTCACTATGATTATACCCCAATGTCAACACAGCAAAAGAAGTAAAACTTAGCTCATCTATGTGCCAAATGAGTATTTGTTTGAAAACTGTATCAAATAACAAAAAGGAAAATTTTGTAAAATTGAAATGATAGCATTGCTGAGGCACAATTGACCGTTATAGCTTGTGAAATTTTCAAACATTCACTTCTTGTGTTTATGTCCAGGACAACTGGAACTATGTGTCTAAATGTCATTTTAGATCCATTATTTGGCTTTTTATTAATTGACCATGAGTTTATGGGGATCAATCTATGAAAAAGACTGTAAAGTATAGTATGTGCTAATTTTACAGGGAGCATTCTGGGCGTTGATGTTGGCTTTTCTAACTGGTGTTATACGGATGATCTTGGCATTTGTATACTACAGTAGTGGAGGCTGTGGTAAAGATGACAATCGTCCCGCCATCTTGAAGAACTTTCATTACATGTATTTCTCGTTATTCATCACACTGTTGACTGGTGTGACGGCTATTGTCATCAGTTATTTTACCGGCAGACCTCATGAAAAATACGTAAGTAGGTTCAACACTGGATCGTTTTCAACTTGATTAAGCTTGACATCATTTTACTGTTACAAATTTAAGTAGGTTCAGCGCCAGGTCGTTTTCAACTTAAATGAAGACTGTCAATATCATTTTACTGCGATACTTATTAGAAATATATACAAGATTTTTCATCTGGTAAACGTCTAGAAAATCCTACTGTATTTATAATGCATACTTGATGTTAATATGTTCAGACCAGGAAACCATAGTGACAATCCCTAAATAAATTACGTAACAGCAAAACATCCTTATACTTTGACAGTAATATCTCCGGTTAGCGTTACCATTCTTCTGATATTTGTTTTGAAAATCGCAAAAGACACTTGCAAACGACACAGAAAAATAGTTAACTTTATCGGCAAAACCTTACTGATTTAATTTATATGACAAACAAACAAGCGCAAATTTGCTTCATTAGCAGAATTAACTGTGTTAAGGATGTGGCAAACCTCATAAAAACGTTATACTATAAAACACATTACAAAAGTCTAAATTCCGTAACATTGATAAATAATGTGGGTTAATTGCTTTGTCGTGTCTGTTGTTTTGCTCGAATTGTCAATCTTAATGCTTTGTCATAATATCAATATATCAGTATCTTTTTACACCTGAGACTAAATTCTTAATAATTACAATTTACCTGTTTAATATATCTTGAGTAAAACGGTACGTTTTTGTTCATTTTCATCTTTATATATGCAAATAAGTTCATGAAAAATTCATAAACAGTTTCTTGTCTAAAAATGCAAATGAATTTGTTTGATAATATGTAAATCGTCTTAATTAGAGATCGTCTTAATTAGAGATTCCATACATTTAATAGGGATATATGTAACAGCTTATATGCACGTTATATAATTGACGAAAGTACACATGAAACAAATGTTCTCCATAAGAATTGTATAAATCACAGAAAAGTATAGGAAACTATTTTTTTTTATAAATAATCATATCTACACATATTCTTATTTTCACCTAAGTTCATATACCAGGTTAAAACGATTCAAAAGTAATTATTCTACGTTTTCATATAATTTTGTTCTATTTTTACGTTTTGATTTTTTCAATCAAGTATTATAAATATGCATTAATTTGATAAAAATATTGTTGTTTGTTAAATACTAACAAAGGTTTCAAAATTTATTTGCTATCGACATGTAAAATGTCTTTGGCCATTTACGTAAAGTATGTATAAATGTTGTATCATTAATTTAAAGATACACAACTTTAAAAAAAAACAACATTTTTTTCTTGTTAAGTTGACACGTACGACATTTTGGACGAGGAAATCAGCTCCGTACATAGAAGAGACAGAACCTGACAAACTAGGTAAAGATAAGGAGAATGGTTTCACAAATCTTGCAGCAACAGGTGATAATAACATGCACGTGTTCTCCGTGGAGGAAAAACATCACTACAGGGACCCGAAACTTGATGAACCAGAAGAAGATAAAGGTTTGACACCTATATCATATCTAAATTTCTAAAGGCATAGAAATTGAAACATGAATTTTAGTATAATCTAAATCCCGCCTATCGGTATCAATAATTAACAAGCACTTTTCGAGTTTCTCACTTCTGAAAATCTCTTTTTTATTTTATTTGTGACGCAAGATTTTTATTTAAACAGAAACACACAATTTTTTTCCTCTCTTTCAATATACATGTATATAACGATTTTCTATCAAATTTCTTATCCTTTTAATAGCATTATTAACATGTTTGTTCTTGCTTTGCAGAGATGCATTGCGCGGAAAAGGCGTTGAATTACGTTTGCGGAATCACGAACGAGGTCGACGAAGAAAAGGAAAGACAACTGCGGTTACACATGGAGAAAGTTGCGTGCCTTGAACAAAACAAATACGCCAAAATAGGCCTAAATATTGGTTTAGTGACAATTTTATCCCTCGGTGTTTTCTTGTATATATTTTGGTCCTTTTGGAAATATGAACCCTGAGCTCGGTGGTGTGTTAAAGTTGTATTTGACACAAACTATCATCAATAGTGTGTTAACGTTGTATTTCACACAAAATATAAAAACTCGTTTAATCAGAACTAGCCTAGTGAAGTTATAGAGAACTATTTACATTCTATATTTGAAAATATGTAACATTGTAAAATTGTTATCTCTTTAAAAAAAAAACTCGCAACAAAAATCTAGATTAGCTAGCACAATATGTCTAAATATGTATTAATATTAAATGATTGATATAAAATTATTCAGAATACAAGTGTATAAGACTTAATTAAAACTGCAATATCAGTATTTTGACATTTTTGGAGTCTCAATATATACATGATTGTTTCTTTCCTTTCTCAAAAAAATAACTTTAACCTTTCAGGCCATGTTGCTTCATGGGAATGTTATTTTTTATACATATCAAATGTACACGTATATGTATTTCTATTAAAGATAAGCTCGAAAATTGCGTTTGATGTTTTTTCTTTCTATATTCTTTTTAAAATCATGCATTAATTTATACCCCAATTTAGTTCATGTAAAATGAAAATGTAGTAATAAAAACAATTAGATTTTAAGACAAGACTTCATTTCTCTGACCCAGCTGTTGATTCATATATATATATATGTACAATTGTTTTCAGTGCATTACCTGGTCCAAGAGTTGAAGATCAGGATCAAAATTAACAAGTGTTGGTGCGACAGCGCTCAACTATTCCAAGAGCTTGATAGTAAAGCAAGAGCCTAGATAATGTAGAATTTTCAATATTTTCTCTATATGGCACTACAGGTAAGTTAAAAGATCGGTTACGACTAGGTTGTTATGGAAATTCAAGGCTTACTTGAACAAGATAATAGCACCTTCACAACAGAGACGATTTATTTTCCAAGAAATTCAAAGTATTTTTCTATGGGATTCAAAGAATTTTTCCATGTGATTCAATCAAAGAATTATTCCATGGAATTCAAAGATTTCTTTTAAGTAATTCAGTCGAAGAATTATTCCATGGAATTCAAAGATTTCTTTTAAGGAATTCAGTCGAAGAATTATTCCACGGAATCCAAAGATTTCTTTTAAGGAATTCAGTCGAAGAATTATTCTTAAGAACCCAATAAAACAATCATGAATTGAAACAGTGCTGGGTTTAGAAGTATAAGAACATTTTACAACAAGAGGTTTTAGAGGAGATTTCTTTATTGATCACAAATGCAAGTTGCATATTTTACATACATAACATAATACTTATGTAACACATATATGTGCATTTATGAATCTAAACTTTCAAACTGTTAAGTAATATATATGTTATTGAAATAAAACATTCAATAACATTTATTAAATAAAATAACAAACATGTACATATAAATAACTCTGAACATAATAAAAAATCATTATCACAGTAAATATGGACGTTAGAAATAATAAAAAAGAAAAGAAAATACTTTTATCTAAATGTTAATGTGGATGCTTGAAAAAATTATTAGATAAAGGACAACATTATTTCAATAAGTTTCAGACTTATTATCCTAGAATTATTATCTAACATTTAGTAGAAAGTAACCTTTATAAGATCTACGCTTTTCCATTCAAATTTCACACAGTTCAACAATGTTAGGCTAGCCGCTTTATATAATATTATATGTGTTAATGTTGTTTAAATTTTTAAAATAATTTAAAAGCCACTTAAGTTATAGCTATAGGCATTTGCATTTAATATTGAGCACATTTTATTATAACTTTGTTTAACACATTTATATTTGATATAAGTAATATGTTTTAATGTTGACCTTAAATTCAGCATAGAACAAATTATGACAAAATTCTGCACTGTTATTATACCTAAAAATCACAGTTTTTGTTATCACATTCATAGGCACATTTAACAATATCAGAAGATAGCTGTTTCATTTCCCAGTTCATTCACTATCTTTTTTTTTTAATCATCATTATAAAAAGCTTTCAAAATTTTCCAAGAATTATGACAACAGAGAATTTTCCAAAGATTTTTCCATAGAATTAAATTAAAGAATTTTTCTACGGAATCCAGTCAAAATATTTTTCCAAGTAATCCAATTAAAGAATTTTTCCATGAAATCCAATAAAATAATTTTCCCAATCCAGGAAAAGAATTATTTCAAGGAATCCAATAAAATAATTTTTCCAAGGAATCCAAATAAAGAATTTTTCCAAGGAATCCAAATAAAAGAATTTTTCCAAGGAATCAAACATAGTATTTTCCAAGGAATCTGAATAAAGATTTTTTCCAAGGAACCCAATTAAAGAATATTAAAGAATATTTCCAAGGAATTCAATCAAAGTTCTTTTCCAAGGAATCCAATTTTTCCAAGTAATTCAGTAAAAGTTTTTCCAAGGAATCTAATTCAAAAATATTTCCAAGGAATCCAATAAGAGCTTTTCCTAGAAATCCAGTCAAAGAATTTGTTCCAAATCATTCAATTAAGAAGCTGTAACTATATTAAAGTAGATCTGTATTTGTATTTAAGCCTCAGTAACATCCGGGGTCTGTGGTGGTGGTTTATAGAAAGGATCTTTAGGTAACATGATATCTGTTATCTTCTGAAGTAACTCATGGCTGGATCGTACCTTGTTCTTCTACAAAAAAAATAAATAATTTAACAATTAGTTTACTAAAACTTAAAACTGTAATCCGCAATCAAATAAAATTTGTTTGTTTGTTAGATTGGGTTTCACGTCTAACTGACACAATATAGGTCATTTGGTGATATTCCAGCTTTACTGGTGGAGGAAGACCTCAGGTGCCCTACCGTGAATTATTTCAGGTACAAACGGGCACCTGAGTAGAACAGCTGACGTTTCGTAAGCTAGCTGGATAGCTTCCTCACATAAAAAATCCAAAGTCCCTGTCAGGATTCGAACCTACTGCGGTGAGGGGCAAGAGATTTGAAGTCAACGACCCTAACCACTTGGCCACGGACTCCTCAGAAAATACAATGAATCAATAACAATGCAAGCCAATGTTAACTTACCCCGACTAATAATCTCATAAGCCCAGTTCCGCTACTTTTGTTTTCCATACACAATGTTGTTTGATATTGCATGGCCTTCAGTAGAGCCTCAAGGCCTGTCTCGCCTATCTCATTCCCTGTAATATTTTACATATTCAATATTATATATACACAATGTTGTCTGATACTGCATGGCCTTCAGTAGGGCCTCAAGGCCTGTCTCACCTATCTCATTCCCTGTAATATTTTAAACCTTTAATTTTATATATAGAATATTCAACAAGTTCAAAAATTTAGTAATGAAGCTACACGAATATATAAAGAGTGTAGGTTTAATACTTAATTTATTGAACAAGTTGAATAAAATTATATAATGCCAGCCTCAAAGCGAGCATAATATTTCATTCAACGGGTTTAATAAATTTAGTAATGAAGTTATACACAAATTTAATATTCTATTTATAACATATCAAAAGTAGAAAAGTTTACAGTAAAAATGAAGTTTTTTCATTGTTTGATTAAATGTATTCCATGTTTTTCTAAATCACAAAATAACATAGCTCATTTAAGACCACAATGGAGATATAAGCTTATTCTAACTCTTCTATTTTGTGTGTGTAATTCTTCAAATAAACATGTATAATGTTTCTTTCAATATGGCTAATAATTACTAATTCATACACTTTGTTTTAAATTTTATGTATTTATTTAATGATGTTGCCATGCTGACTTATTGAATATCAATCAATCAATAAATCAATCACGATATTTATTAAAAATCCAAGATATTCATAATCAGTAATTCAACTCAGACCTACAAATATTAAGTAACAGAGCATTTATATGATTAAAATTAACATTAAACTTGAATACATACGTGAGAGATTGAGGTTAATGAGAACCCTGTTACCAGCTACCCACAGTTGACCATCTATATAATCAGCACCTTCTAACAATGGGTTTATAAAGTCAGGACTGTCAGCTGGCTGAAATATTAAGTTATAATAATAAGACTGTTCTGTTATAATACAAATTATGTTCAACTTTCATTTCACAACTCGATGTTTGCCAAAATTTGTATGAAAATTAAAAAAGATGTTCATGAACAAGCAATGTTTAATACAAGTATACAAATATCTACTGCTTGTTGTTAAATATTGTATTCCCAACCAAGGCATCATAGGGTACCTAATTACATGTATGTAATAACAATAGGTGTCTGTTAGACAGTGGGCTAGACTTTTCTCAGTGCTTGACAGTAAGTAAAGGGGCATAACTTTGTATAAACGTAACTCAGAGTTGTGTGACCTGTGCTCATCATGTTAGATAATCATCATGTAAGATGAACGAAGAGAACAAGTGGGCGAAGTTTTAACCCATTCCCTTCAGTAGTTTTGGGTATATCAATTTGCACGCAAAAACTTGACCAAAGAGTGACGACAAAGACTCCACAGACCCTTACAACATGGCGTTACATGCATCAGCTCTCCCTATTCTTCAAATAGTCAAGCTAAAAGTGGATGCACAACACCTTTTGTGTGAGTGCAGTATTGTGACGATAAATCTGCTTTGAAAACATAACATCTTCACCTCAGTAACATCCTTCTGAATTTAAAAGAAGTTAACCAGTTATTGCACTAAGGTGACGAAATAGTCACTTTAGTTGACATCAACTCACCTCTGTTTCTTGTGTAGGTTTACCACCTTTTTCTTTACCTTTTGCCTTATTGCCTTTACCTTTAGCATCTGCAGCCAGGGAAGCTAGAAAGTGACAAAATAATGTGATATTAAAATATGTTTCCATAGCACCAACTTAACCTGTGTATTATATAAATACTGTACATAATTTTAATAAAAGTTTTTTTTCTTCTCTTTGTTTCTTTACATTTTAACTTTAATATTCCAATTACAATAATAGTCTTAATATTTAAATCCTATATTAATTACTGACTGAATATTCCCAATTAAAAATATGAAAATAATTATGATAATATTTAAAATATTTATCTAAAATAAATGCTTATGAAAGAATAGTCTTTTATTTACATCAATAAGAAATTTATTGTTTAATTAATGTAGATAAATAAATTAAAATGTTAAATTGTAATTATTAAGAAATATCTTTTACTGATTGAAAGAGCTATTGGTAATTGACAGGAAAAAGGCTACATGACTTTATATCATTCATATAGATACTATACATGTATATTCATAATTAAGGCCTCTCTTCGGTAGATGTGGTTATATCGCATACTTATAGAAAAATTATAATTGCTGATAAACATAAATCGAAGTTTGTTTATGGCATTGATGGAAAAACACACATATCCAGGAATAATTAGATAAAAAAAGATAAATTTTGTATAAAGATCAGTTTTTAAATAAATTGTAAAAGTTGTCAAATCGTGTTTTTTATTTGAAAAATATTTTAATACAATAAATATAAATTGAACATTTTACATTCTATTAAACATATTATAAAGTTCTTATATTGAATATCTTAATTTTACAAATAAATAATGTGTAAATACACTTTATATTTTTTACTTTCAGTCACCTTTTGATTTAAAACGAATAACTGCAAAAAGATGCACAATATTAAGTTAATTAATTAGAAACCAAAATATTTTATGAACCATTGCTGACTTTAAATTTGACTAAAAATTAATTAATAATATTCAATTTAAACTGTGCTAATGATAAACATAAGATAAATTATTAAGATGGCAAATTTGAACAGATTTTTAACCCTTCCCCTCCTTTATTTGATGTTAATTAGAGCTCCTCCTGCTTTGAATTTGGAACTGTTCATTTTTATGGATACTCTAGGGAAGTTCAGTTCTAATGTCCATAACTTGACGCCACGGTACACATTCTGTATATACTATAATAAAAAGTTATTTTTTATTGAGTTTTTAAGCCATACTGACATTGTTATTGTCATAGCAGCCTTAGTAATGTCAAGAAAAAATCTCAGGTGCCCAATTTGTGTATTTATTACAGGTATGAGCAGGACAGGTAGAAATACCAACAACCAATAAGCTAACCATGTATTCCTCCTAACTAACATTGGTTAAATATTGATTGATGCTAAATATCCAAATGGGTAAATTTAATTTTATCAAATTTAAATAGCCAGCAACAGTGCATTATGCAAGAAAAAAAATAGTTTTTTTTTAACACACAGTATTTATTTGAGAAAAGAGAATAGAAATCTGCTTAGTAAAATACAGAGAAAAAATACACCAAACATCTAAATAATATTTACCCCTACAATTGGCTACTCAAGATAATTATATAATTTAACCCTTCAGCAACAAATAAATAGGTTAACACAGAAATGTAACACAAATGTACAACACAGGTTTAACAAAAATAATACAAATTCTGTCGGAGATGGCAAAATTCATAAGGCAATGCTGTTGTATATGAATAGACACTTAAAGGGTCTATTTAAAAAAAGTTACTTACAGGAAAGGGAGAAAATATAAGATAACATTTACAAGTAAAGTTTGCTGGGGTTTGAAAGCGGTATGAAAATGCAGGTAAAATCAAGCTTTACAGAAAGTGACAAATATGTGTTCCTGGGAAATCTAGTTTCTAAATTTATTTACTATAATTTTTTTAAAAATAAATATAATAACTTATTTGTACAGTGTATTTTTATTTTGGTTTTCTATAATTATTTATTGCATGTTAGAGTTTTTATTGAAAGTAGAATGAAACTTGTCTAACCTGCCCTTCTTAAAAAAAAAATCTTGACCTATAATAATTGCACAAAAAAGATATAAAATAAAAAGAAAAGAAACAATAATAATTACAAATACATTTTGTAGAAAAAAAAACACAAGTAGAAAAGAAAATTCAGAAGAAACAATCGACAACAAAAAGAAAATATGTAAATTAAGAGAGAAATTTGTCATTTTCTTTAAATGTTCTTTTGTTGAGGTTTCAAGAAGGAAATATAGTAGAGAGATAGGGATAATAAAATGTTTGTATAGTATAATTATCTGTCATACCCCTTCTACTAGAACTGCCATTTTGCATATCTGCTTGATGAGGTACAAATATATATATATGTACATAATAAAATATTGATGTTATAAATAGACATTTTAAATAAACAGTCATCTTGAATTTTAATCAAATTTTAATGGCTATTTTTTTAACAAACGATAACCTTTTTTTATTTTCCTATTAAATATTATAAATAAGGCTCTTCAGTGAATGCTAATAGGTTAATGCAGATGGCCTGTTGGTCAATGATGTCTGTAACCTACAAAGGAACACAACCATGCTTCTTTGTATGACAACATTGTAAGGCATATAAAGTAAGGTTATAAAACTTTGTCTATGAGGTGTCTCCGACCTCAAGATTTTCATTTATCAGTGCACATTCTGGGACTGTTTCTAACCAATCTGTCAGATGCTTTTCACTTGTCAAGGGAGGTAAATATTGTAAAAATCAAGAACTATCAGGATACTTATCTATACCTGATATATGGAGATTGAGCTGAGAAAATTTCTTAATAACCTTGGACCCTTAAACATGACAAGCGAGGGGATGAAAGTTTCATTTGCACAGTTTTTCATTTAGATGTTTTAAAATTAATCAGGCCTACCGGTATTTGATTATATCACTTAACTCGTAACAGACTGCAACAATTCATACAACATAATGCACTCAAAATTAATATTTATAATTTTAACTATCATTAATTGATGAACTGAGTTTTGAACTGAGTTTTTTAATACATAATTAAGGATCAGACATGCATTATAATATGAAAAAGGCAAAGCCTCAAAGCGAGCTCGATATACTTTTACCGTAAGATAGTTTAAAATAATCGTTCATTTTTATTTTAGCATTTTCCGTTTTAAAAATGTCATTTGGTATTTTATACACTGCTTCCGTTTATTCTGGTTCCTCCTTTCTATTATGGTTTCTAATATAAGTGCACAGGACACCAGTCTACGCTTCCGTTTTCAATCAGAGTACATCGGCTTTTATCGTTATCTTGTAATTTGAAAAGTTGCGATGTGTCCAATTCGGTATTTCGGACGAAAGTTTTCAAAACCACCACTTAGCAGGTACGGTACTCGCGTTACCGTAAAGCTCGCTTTGCGAGCAGGCCTTTTTGGCCTTTTGGGCCAGCTCGTCGAGCTCGCTATAATTGTCTTCTATTTCCTAGAACATACCGTATTTACTCGCCTATAAGACGGATCACTTATAAGACGGGGTCCTTATTTCGACTAAAAAAACACTTTTTGCTACCCTCTTATCAGATAGGTAGAAAATTTTTTTAAAGGAAAAATACTATTGCACCTCAGTTATTAATTGAAAATTGTTAAAAATTATTAAAATGAATTGACTGATTGGCTGGATGAATAACCTTTTTCAAAAAAAAAATTGTAACCTTACAAGACAATCTTAATTTCTAATTTCTAAATATAATTTAATTTATTATGTTCAAAAGCTTGGCAAAATAGCAATATAATACCTTTGACTGCTAGAAATTACCCATGACAGGTATATATTATCATCATAATATAAAATGATCCCCTTTCATTGAGTATAAAGGTCTCAAAAGCAAAAAAAAAGTAAAGAAAGTCTGGGATAATATAATTTTTGATATATAAGATAAGCAAATTGTGCACTTATATATGCTGATAAGTGTGACAATCTATAATTCAAGAGCAATAATAAAAATGTTCCTATCAAAAAGCAAGCAAGTCATACTATAGAGTGCTAAGGTTTTTTTTGTTTTGTTTTTTGTTTTTATACTTGTTACATTTTTTTCTAAAATCAGATAATAAATCATATTTTAGCCCTTTTATGATGCTGCACTCTCATTTATACATTTATCGCAGCAGACAGAGTAAACAAGTTTTTTTGTTATTTTTTTTAATTTAATTTGTTCATTAACATGTTGTGCCATATTGAATATAAATTTTTGATGTTAGACAGTGATTTTGATATCCAAATGTTAAAAAAACAGTCAACAGAATACAAAAATGATCCAAGACTACACAGATGAGCAGACCGGCTTGTTATGCTTCACTGGTAACATATACAGGGACTATATTATTACCATTGACAGCCCTAGTAGTGCACATTCTCAACTTCATGTACATTAAATGATCTACAATTTATAATTTTTTCTTCGTTTCTTGTGTTGTAAGACTTAAAGGTTAAATGACTACTTTCCAGATAAAAACAAAATGTTTGATTAAAGAAAATCTCATGGCCTTCTTTACATTATTTCTTGCACTTTACGAGGGCGATTTGAAATCTTAAAGGAAAAATGAAAATTTCTATTTTAACACTCTCAAGAAATGGAATATAATTATCTAAGTATGTCAAACATAGAAGTGTTATTTACTATCTACTTTGTGACAAAAATCTCTAACATACAAAATGTGTGCTTAATATAATTCATGAAAATAATCAAAAATAAAAAAGTTGGATATTTGTTCTAGGGAGAAAAAAATACAAAAAAAACAAACTGTATGTTGAACTAGAACATGCCTATTCAAACATTACAAAGAAGTTTCATATTCTAGAATGATCATATATTGCCAGAAATTCTTGCTTTTAAAGCTGAAGCAAAAATATGCCGAAGTAACTTTATAGCAATTTAGTAAAATATTTGAGAAAGGTTTTTGTTCAAACAAGCAAGCTTCATTCTACAATTTTTAATCAGAACATTCTTTATTTTTTTGGTCATATTCATGGAACTTCTTTTTCTTTTCTATAAAAATTATCAAAAAAAAAATTAATAAAAAATTTAAACAAATAATATGAAATAATGTTTATAACGTAGTCGACCTACGGGATGGTCACAACTTACCCCCTGAAACTGTGACCACCCACGTTTGCTCCGGCACCCAGAGTTGTAAAGGGAGATAACACAACACAAGTGATTATACAAAAGCACAGCACACATTGAAAACATTAGGAATTGCTTCCCTTTATTGCATTTTTTTTGTGCAAAAATAAAAACTTTTTTTATTAAAATGTATTATGTATTTATTCAGAAAACTAATTTAATAGTTTAAAAACGTTAAGAATTGTTGGTTTATTTAAGATCTAGTATGATGCATTAAGTCATATGATAAAATAGATCCCACTAACATTTCCATATATTAAATGCTATAATTGTTTTATAAAGCAAACCTATGGCGGGCTTTGTCTATTTGCCAAGCCCGCCATAGCTCAATCGGTTAGAGCCCGAGACTTGTAATCTCGACACTGTGGGTTCGATTCCCGGGCTGGCCAACTAAAATTACTAATCAGTCTTTCGGATGAGACTTTAAATCGAGGTCCGCGTGTATGGGTGCTTAAACACTTGGCACGCTAAAGAACCAGGAGAAGCTTCTGGATTGGGGCATCTTTTCTGTATCTGTAATTGCACTATCCTCCAAAAATCTAAAATGACTAATACTCTTCTGGAGGACTCGCCCATATGGGCAACCGGTGGCGAGTATAAATAAACGCAAATACACACACACAAATTTGTCTATTTTGTTCACCTCGTTAAGCATGATTTTATAATGCATGGTAAGGAATATAAATTAGGATTTATGAAAATGTGAAATGTAGCATTTTTTCAAACAAAGACCCGTTAATATAATACTTCAAACTGCTTCACACCAAATCAGAACATTTCGAGCTTTTCTCCAAATAGAAAACCATTTTGTTCCGAACAGAGACTTGTGAGCGTAATTTCAGTTCTAATCGTTACAAGTCTTGTACAGAAACCGAGTCTGTAATTTTCATGTAATTTATTGTGATTTATACTTCCGAGGGATCACTCTTTTATAAGTTTATCTTCACCTTCGAATGTTACGAACATGTCTAAAGGGGTCGATTTAAGAGATAAAATGGCATAAATCACAATTATTTTACATCATAATCACCATTTGCAATATAACTCCTGTATGTCTTCAAAACTGCGGTTCACATGTTGGAACAAAAACCGTGTTTATGAAATTGAAACCACAAATGAAACAAATTTTTGCTTTTAACTGTATCATTAGTTTTTAATTGATTGTGAAAAAGAATTAAAGGAACTAGCTTGGAAATATAAATTCGTATTGCCTTGTTCGTTTGTGTGACGCCATTCAACTCCTTATCATTTCTGATGCCACTGGTCATGTGGTATGGCCAAACTGGTCGAAAAGGTGATCCATTTAATAAATAAAAATATTTGAATACATGTCACTAAGTTAAAAAATATACATGGAAATAAAATCGATGATATATAAGATAATTAATTGATAATTAATTTTTTTTTGTGGATACACATACATAATTTTTTTATTTTCTTGTTACTTACATTAGTTACATAATATCATTGGTAAGACATTTTTTTGTCGGAACATGTGTACAGACATAAAAATGTTTTTTTTAATTTATGCTGATCTTCATAATCGATAAATTCAAAATGGTGGACGGATGCCGCTTTTTTGTCAACATTCGAAAATAATTCAACATCCTGGCGAAAAAGCCACGTTTTACTGATTAGAAAATATTTTAAATCATAATTAGTCATTATCAATTTATCATTGGCAAAAACGTATTACGCGACCTAGATGAGTCACACATTCGTTACATAAAATATTTAATATCATTTACATTTAATAAGCAATAAACACATTGTTATAGCTGCTTCATCAGAGTTTAAATGGCACTAAGTAAGACTACTGAGTTGCACAGTGATGTATCTTAGTATCGGCCGCCATACTTAGTTCCATTATTTTAAAATCGATAATAAATAAGGTCGAAAATAAGCCAGTAATCAGTATTTAAAATGACCAAAATGTGTGGTGTAAAGTTAACCGCACTTTGGCGTCCCAAAGTGCGGTGTTACACTGCCGTCTTCGCATTTAAACTGACATAATATTTCATGAAAATCAACCTTGATAAAGATTTTAAAAAAGATCTTAAAAAAGTTAATTCACTTTCGATTCAAGAATTAATGAACATACTATATGCATAAAATGACTTATTTTGACTATTTTCTATTGCGTGACTAACGTCGTAA